TCCTTCTACACTAAACTGTGTAATTTAGTCCTAAAACAAACTTCGCCACAAACCCCAGTACTCTCTTGCTAAAATCATGAACGCTTGTGAAATTTAGCAACTTAGAATTTCCTAATATATAAATTAGCTCTAATTAATGAATTTGTACTATTCATAAGTTGCAAAATACTTTGTTGATTCCCTCCATAGTTTAAAAGAAAAAGTTTCAAGTATGGAAATCATAATGGCATGAAGTGATCATGTTTCGTACTTGTTTTTGTAACTGTGGAAACACAGGAACTGTCTGAGCAAAAGAGTGACAAAGCCATGAAAACTATTTCTCTGTACTTTAACATTCCTCATTTTGCCACTCACGAGTTAGAACTATGGATTTACAAACAAACTGTAAAATAATAGCCATTGCTTTTATTCTATTAGCCCTCCTCCAAGTTAGGTTGAAAGCACTAAGCTGTTAGTTATCTCTCATTCAGTTGAAGGTATTCCGTCTAGAAGTGGGAAGAGAAGGGGCTGTGCCAAGCTCGGGAAGCCTTTAGTGGTAAAAATGTCACTGAGTGCTTATACATAAACCAGTGTTATTCTGTGTAATTTCAGTCTCCAGCAGTCTACACTCTTTCCCGCAGGCTTAGAGGTAGATATGTGATCTCTAAATAGGCGTATGTTCCCATCAGGACTGACCGTTAGGTTTGCTTAAAGCAAAGTGGTTGCTCTTACCACCTCACCTGGGCTTAATGAGAGCCGTTTCCTCATGCCAAGGTTGGGTTAATGGACTGAGATGGAGGAAAAACAAACGGATGTCTCCGTTTTACACCAGATTGCCTTTCTGCCTTGTGGCTTTAACCACTCTGTCCTCCCCACATCTGCCATAATAACAATTACAGCTCTTCTGCGGCTGCCTCACCCAGGAGGATTGTGAGGGGATAGCAACACCTCCGGAAAAAAATCAGGGCAAATTCTTAATCTATTTTCAGCATTGTAGGTAATAATTTTCCTCTGCAAGCCCCCAAGGGGTGCTTCTGTGGGCTCGCACACCCACCATTCCAGAAGGCTGTGGCACCACTGTGATTTGTAAGTTTTCTTCTATCTTCCCTCTTCTGAGATAAGTTTTAATTATGTAGACAGGTTGTGAAATCTATTTCTTCTTGTAAACAACTATTTCTTTGTTAGTACCAGGATTTTGTTTAACTGTTTTCCTCTTATCCAAATCTTCTTATATATCCAGGAAATATGTCAGTTCATTGTTTAACTGCCATTATCAAAGAAAGAGAAAGCTGGCTTCTTTTCCTAGCTCCCCCTGGGAGTTGTTCTTTGCTGCAGATGGCTGGAATATCTATATTTACTTATTTTTCATCCACTATAGGTAGAAAGTATAGCCCATCAAACCAGCAGATTTTCAACATCTTTACAACCTACTTTTTTGTCATAATCAAAACACCTGAAGTCCCCCAAAGCCCTGGTAAAAATCACCAAGAGTTGTTGCCGCCTTCGGGGCCTGAGAAAAGCAGGCTTGAAAAAGTGACCTAAGATGCTGACAATCAATCATTGTTGATTTATTCTGCCCCTTCCACATTACAATTAAAATGTAAAAAAAAAAAAATTGAGTGGAGTATTGGGTTGTATATTTTTTTCCTAATCAAATAATCATTTTAAGTACTTTATTCATTCCCTCACAAAATCTGACCTTTTATATTTGCTTTAAAGTCAGGTTCTGTGCAAACACTGGTTTCACAACAATGGTACATAAATTGCATGTGGTGGTGCACAGCTGACATCTCAGCACTTGGAAGGGCAGACACAGGAGAAACCAAAATCTGATGCTAGCCTGGACTACATAAATAAAGGAGTGTTTGAATGGCAGGATAAGAGAAATAGCATAAAAAGGATATCTAAAATACTACCACTTAACTGTCCTTGTAATTATTCACAGCAGTACTTGACTCTAGCTTGACATCAGCTAGAGTCACCTGGGAACAAGGACCCTGAGCTGAGGACTTGCCCCCATCAGGGTGGCCTGTGGGTGTGTCTGTGAGTCATTTTCTTGATTTACGTACGATGTGGGAAGGCCCAAGCCACTGTTGTGGTTCCACCCTAGGGCAGGTGGTCCTGGGTATGTCAGAATGCAAGCAGTTGATGTTGAGGAGGAATCGCTGAAACATAAAAAAAATAAAACTAGCAAAAATTTTTAATAAACATTTTTTTCATGCAAATGGTCAAGACGCACCTTAAAATACTCGAAATCATTTTTCACTAAGAAAATGAAAGTTAAACACACACTATCTTACATTTATTAGGTTGACAATTACTAAAAATAAGTAAAGTGAAAAAATAAAACAAATTAACAAAATTGTGAAGACTATGAGCAGGACATGGTTGCACACGAGGCAGGAGGACTAGGAATTTAAAGCCAGCCTGGACGACATAGTGAGACACTAAATGGAAACAAAACAAAACAAAACAAAACAAAACAAAAAGGCAAACCAAAGAGAAAACATAAAGAAACCAAAGCTTGGCACACTGCTAGTAGGAATAGAAAGTAGAACAGCCACTGTGGCTTCCTCAAAAACTTGAAAACAGAATTACCATGTGACCCAGAGGTGAAATTTCTGGAAATATGCCAAGAAGTAGTGCTGGAAGGAGGCTCTTCGTGGGATGCTGATGCATCATCTTCGGTGCAGTGTTATTCACAACAGCCATACGGTACACAGCACCCAAGCGTCCACCACCAAACTCCACACCTTGTTTACTCATACTGATGAATGGGTAAACAAACGAGCTGTGGTAACACAATTATAAAATCCTTAAACTAGAAGAAAACTTTATAATCTGAGCAAATCTTAGAGGCATTGCGTTATGCAACACAAGCCAATCACAAAGGGATCAATACTGAGGCTGCAGAGATGGCTCAGTGGTTCATAGAATTTGTTATTCTTGCAGAGGACCTGGGTTCAGTTCCCAGTACCCATGTTGAGGGTAATCGTCTCATCTCCAATCCCAGATGATGGTCCTCTTCTGGCCTCTGTGTGCACATGATGCACCGATACACATACAGACAAACACACACAATAAAAAGAAATAAATCTTCAACAACAACAACCAAACACTGAGATTTCATTTAGCTGAGGTACTAGAAAGTAGAAAGGTAGTTTCAGGGGCTGATAACAGGGAATGAGCCAGTCAATGAGAATAGTCTCAGTGTTGCCAGAGAATGCAACTGTAGCTAAGGAAAAGGTACACTTGATTAAAAGGCACAAATGATTAAAAGGATAAATTAAAAAGGATAAATACAACCTCAGCAGGTTGTATTTACATATTTGTGCATATAAATATGTAAGAATAACAGCAAAAAGGAAGCCAGGGATTTGAGCAGGAGTGGGGGTGGGCGGGACATGGGAGGTGCTGGAGTAAGGAACCAAATGGTGAAATGATGTGATGATATTTTCTAATTTTTCAAATATAAAAAATATCAAAGGGGAAAAGAGCAAGCCACCATGGAAAGCAAACCAGTAGGCAACATTCCTCAGTGGTATCTCCTTTAGCCCCTGCCTCTAGATGCCTGCTTGCGCTCCTGCCCTGGTTTCTTGTTGGGGTGTTTTATCACACCATGAAAAGCTGATTAATACAGCCTTTTAGTAAGATGCACAGTGTTCTCCCTCAAAGACTCTGCTCAAAGATTTTGATATTTGAGAAAAGAGATCAGTTATAGACATAGCCGTGTGTGTACTATCTTCACACTGAAGAAACATTTATGCAACTCTACCTTCCAGAGAGGAAATGTGTGTGGGCCACAAGGCTCATGGGACGGCTTGGATATCATCTTGACAGTGACCTCATTGGCCAGGCTGTTAACAGTTCAGTGGGGGACAGGATTCTCACCTGAGTTTCAAGAAAGACTCATACAGATACCAGCACCTGATGTAGGCTTTTGTGGTTTTATTTTCCTAAAGAGAATGTTCACATTTCCATTAGAGTCTCAGAGGTTGGTATGGCATAGAATGAAATTAAGTTTATATTAAATAAGTTTGTTCAAAGAAAAAGCTGATCTCAATAGGTTTTCTTTTATTTTATAATTTAAGTAATCTTTCATTGCTGAGGTGGAGTTTTATGCTCTCTAATAGATTTCATTAATTATTTATTGTGTGTGTGTGTGGGGGGGGTGATTTTTAGAACCAAGCCCTTTTCTATTCATTCCTTATGCTCACAAAGATTGTAAATTCACCATTTAAATTGGATAACCCTGTTATTTTACCTAAATGAGAAAAGCTAGATTAAGCTTTCTAGTATTATACAGACAGTTGTTCTTATCTACTGCTGTGGCCAAAAAGAAGCGTCTGTACTGAACGTGTACAGACTTCATCCACAGACCCAAGCAACCACACATCAGAATATTCAAAAACAAACAACTGCATCAGAAATGAACCCAGGGCCCTTTCTTTTTGTAATTCCCTAGAGAGTAGAGTGCCAGAGCCACTAAGATAAGATTAACTCTATATGGGGGGCAAGGGTACATAGTGGTAGAGAGGTTTTACAGAGGACCAGAGGAGCATGGCTACACGTAGATACTGAGTCATTCTTTTTCCCAAAGGTTTGCTCACCTTGCCACCCTTGGATACTAAAGATATGAAGGATTTCTCCAAATCCTACAAGCACATCCTAAAGCTCATTCTTTTTTCTTTAGTAATCCAGTCTATTTTTTTTTTCTCCTTACCATCATGGTCAAGTAACCCAGACCTTACCTTGACTCTTTCCAACATGAAACAGCTTAAATACAACCATACTCTTCACCTGATTAAATGTTACCCTGTGTTTTATTGTGGGCTGGATAAGAGTGAACAGTGTTCCACAGAGAAGATACTAACTTCCCTTGTAGAAGGATTTACTAAAGGTTTACTAAAGGTTCACCATGTGCTTGAGACAGTGCTGTAGACGTGCTTTTTGCTTTTTTGCCATATTTGAACACAAATCCCATCAAACATGTACAATGTGGATTCTTTTTTTATTTCTAGGTTATTCTGTGAACTCATCCTCAGGAGAACAAGAAAATATTGAGACTCCATGGAGAAATAAACCTTGCAGCCTTTCAATTCAGACATGAAAAAAACTGCAGCCATCTGAAGTGGCCATGAATGCCAAACAAGTCTTCCTTTCTGTCCTGCTTTTTGGGACAGTAGGGCTTCTGTTCTTCATGTATTTGCAAGTCTGGATTGAAGAACAGCATACAGGTAATGTGCAGACTGTGTTCTCCCTTTAAATGATAATCATGATGTCACCTTGGTGTTCAATATGTAGTAGTATTGATAGAACTTTGGTAAGCCAGAAAGTTCCCAGTGTCCATAATTTAAATACCCAGCACTTGTTCATTTCCTTTTCCATGTATTTTTAATTTAATTTCTTTACAGCCTGATCCCAGCCCTGTCCCTCTTCTCCTCCCAGTCCCATCCTCATGTCCCTCTCCTTTTCCTTTTTCTCAGAGAAGAGGAGGCCCCCAAGAGGTACTGACTCACCCTGGCACCTCCAGTCCCAGCAGGACTAAGAGCATCTTTTCCCACTGAGGCCAGACAAGGCAGCCAGCTGGGGGAAAGGAATCCAAAGGCAGTCAGCAGAGTCAGAGACAGCCCCTACTCCCATTGTTAGTGGACCCACACGATGAACATGCTGTACATCTGCTACATACGTATAGGAGGTCTATGTCATGCAAGCTCTTTGGTTGGTGGTTTAGTCTCTATGAGCCCCCATGGACCCAGGTTTATTCTGTACATCTTTTTGCAGTCCTTGACCCCTTCAGCTCTCCTATTCTTCCTCTTACTCTTCCATAATACTCCCCGGACTTAGACCTTGGCCTCTTGTTTGGTGGTGGATCTCTGCATCTGTTTCCATCATCTGCTGGATGAAGCCTCTCAGCAGACAGTTATGCTAGGCTCCTGTCTGCAAGCATAGTAGAGTATCATTAACAGTGACAGGGGTTGGCTCTCTCCCACGAGGTGAGTCTCAAGTTGGGCCAGTCATTGTTTTGCCATTCCCTCAATCTCTATTCCATATTTACTTCTACACTTCTTGTAGGCAAGACACATTTTGGGTTGAAAGTTTTATTGGTGGGATGGTGTCCCTCTGTTCTCTCTCCCCATCCTCATCACCCTCCTCTGCTCTCTAGCCTCCTCATCCCCACCCCTGTTAGCCTTCCCACCCCCTCTCTCACCAAGTTCCCTCCCTCCATCTGCTTCAGAAATATATTGTGTTTCCTGTTCTGAGTGAGATCCAAGCATCTTCCCTTGGTACTCTTTGGCTATTTTGGGTCTATGGATTATATCATGGTTACCATGTTACTTTACAGCTAATATCCAGTTATAAGTGAGTGCATACCGTGAGTGTCTTTCTGGGTCTGGGTTAACACAGTATAATCTTTTCCAGTTGTAGCTATTTGCCTGCAAATTACACTACGTCTTTGTTTTTAATAGATGAGTGGTATTTCATTGTGTACCACATTTTCATTATCTATTGTTCAGGTGAGGGACATATAGGTTGTTTACAGAATCTGGCTATTTTCAATAAAACTGCTATGAAAATTGTTGAGCCAATGTCCTTGTGGTAAGGTGGAGCATCTTTTGGGTATATGCCCAGGAATGGTATAGCTGGATCTCGAAGTAGGGTTATTCCCAATTTTCTGAAAGAGCACCAGATTGATTTCCACAGTAGTTGTACAAGTTTGCATTCCCACCAACAATGGAGGAGTGTTCCTCTATCTCCACAACCTTGCCAGCATGTGCTGTCACTTGATTTTTTTTAACTCCCCTAACTTATTTATTATTTCATTTAATAAATAAAACAGGGATTTGTGGGAAGCAATTCCAGTGCAGTAGAGACAAGGATCATTTGTGGAAAATCATTTGTGGAAAACCTTTTTTTTTTTTTCTTCATTATCATTATCATTATGTTCTCTGCCAGGCTTGGAGATTACTATGTAAATTAGGGTAGCCTCATATTCAAAGAGATTCACTTGAGTAACCATTTTGACAATCAAGTAGCCATTTTGACAGGTGTAACATGAAACCTCTGAGTTATTTTGATTTGCATTTCCCTGATGACAAAGGATGCTGAACATTTATTTTTTAAATTTATTTATTATTTATTACAATTTAATCACTTTGTATCATGGCTGTAGCTTCCTCTTTCATCGCTTCCCAGTCCCACCCATTCTCCCTCTTCTCCCCCATGCCCCTCCCCTAGTCTACTTATAAGGAAGGACCCCATCCCCTTCTTTTGGACCCTAGCCTATCAGGTCTCATCAGAACTGGCTGCATTGTCTTCCTCTGTGGCCTGGCAATGCTGCATCTCCCAGGGAGAAGTGATCAAAGACCCAGCCACTGAGTTCATGCCAGAGACAGACCCTGCTCCTCTTTCTAGGGAACCTACTTGGAGACTGAGTTGCTTATGGACTACATCTGAGCACAGGTTCTAGGTCCTCACCATGCATGATCCTTGGTTGCAATATCAGTCTCTGCAGGGCCCCCTGGGCCCAGATTTTTTTGCTCTGTTTGTCTCCTTGTGGAGCTCCTGTACCTCCCAGGTCTTTCTATCTCCCCCTTCTTTTACAAGATTCCCTGCACTCTGCCCAAAATTTGGCTATGAGTCTCAGCAACTGCTTCAGTATCCTGATCAGTAGAGTTTTTCAGAGATCCTCTGTGGTAGGCTCCTGTCCTGTTACCTGTCTTCTTCTTCTTCTTATGTCTATCCTGTTTGCCCTTTTGAGCATTTCTTTAAGTACTTCTCAGCCATTCCAGATTCCTGTATTGAGAATTCTGTTTAGCTCTGTACTGCGTTTTTAATTGGGTTATTTGATTTATTGGTATGTAATTTCTTGAGTTCTTTATATATTTTGGATAGTAGCCCTTTAACAGATGTAGGATTAGGGAAGATCTTTTCCCATTTTGTAGGCTGCTGTTTTGTTCTATTGACAGTGTCCTTTGCCTTGCAGAAGCTTTTGAGTTTCATGAGGTTCCATTTATCACTTGTTGATCTTAGTGCCCAAGCTGTTGGTGTTCTGTTCAGGAAGTTGTCTCCTGTGCCAATGACTCCAAGGCTCTTCCCCATGTTCATTTCTATTAGATTTAGTGTATCTGGATTTATGTTGAGGTCTTTGATCCAGTTGGACCTGAATTTTGTGAAGGGTGATAAATGTGGATCAATTTCCATTTTTCTACATGTAGACATCCAGTTAGACCAACACTATTTCTTGAAAATGCTTTATTTATTTATTTATTTATTTATTTATTTATTTATTTATTTATTTATTTTGCATTGTATGGTTTTGGGTTCTGTGTCAAAAATCAGGTGTGCACAGGTATGGTGGTTTATTTCTAGGTCTTGGATTTGATTCCATTGTTTTCATGCCAATAGCATGCAGTTTTCATTATTATTGATCTGTAGTACAGTTTGAAAACAAGGATGGTGACACCTCCAGAAGTTCTTTTATTGTATAGAATTATTTTAGCTATCCTGGGTTGTTTTTTTTCTCTATGTGAAGTTGAGAATTGCTATCTTAAGGTTTAGAAAGAAGTGTGTTGGAATTTTGATTGTAATTACATCAATGGAATTTTGATGTGGATTGCTTTTGGTAAAATGGTTATTCTTACTATGCTAATCCTACTGATACACAAGCATGGAGCATCTTTCCATCTTGTTATTTCTTCTTCAGTTTCTTTCTTAAGAGGCTTGAAGTTCTTGTCATACAGGTCTTTCACTTGCTTGGTTAAAGTTACACCAAGATGTTTTATATTATTTGTGAAGGGTGTTGCTTCCTTAATTTCTTTCTCAGCCCATTCATTGTTTGTATAAAGGAGGTCTAGGGCTATTAATTTTTTTTTTTTTTAGTTTATTTTGTACCCAGCCACTTTGCTGAAGTCATTTATCAGCTGTAGCAGTTCAGGGTAGAATTTTGGGGATCACTTTTGCATACTATCTTATTATTTATGAATAGTCAATACTTAGATGTCTTCCTTTCCAAATTGTATCTCCTTAATCTTTAGTTGTCTTATTGCTCTAGCTAGAAATTCAAGTACTATGTTCAATAGATATGGAAAGAATGGGCAGGCTTGTCTTGTTCCTTATTTTAGTAGAATTACTTTAAGTTTCTCTCCAATTAATTTGGCTCTTGGCTTGCTGTGTATTGCCTTTATTGTGTTTAGGTATGTGCCTTGTATCCAAGATCTCTCTAATACTTTTAACATGAAGGGGTGACATATTTTGTCAAAGGCTTTATTTTAAGTGTCTACTGAGATGATTATGTAGGTTTTTTTTTTTTTTCAATTTGTTTATATGGTGGATTACATTGATGGATTTTATTTTACTGAATCACCCATGCATGCCTGGGTTAAAACCTGCTTGACCATAGTGGATGATATCTTTGATGTGTTCTTGGATTCTGCTTGCGAGTATTTTATTGAATATTTTTGCATCAATGCTCATAAGGGACATTGGTCTGAAATTCTCTTTTTGTTTAGTCTTTGTGTGGTTTAGGTATCAGAGTGACTGTAAGCTCAGAGAATGAGTTTGGTAATTTTCCTTCTGTTTCTATTTTGTGGAACAGTTTGAAGAGTAATGGTGTTAGCTCTTCTTTGAATGTCTGGTAGGATTCTGCACTAAAACCATGTGGGTCTGTGCTTTTATTTTTTTAGGGGTTGTTTAAACTGTGTAACAGATCTTGATTTTTTTATTTAACTTTACATTTGGCTCTTAAAAGAAGTAAAGTTTACAAACCAGTGGCCTTTTACTCAGTGCTCACACTGCAGTTAGTGTAGTATCAAAGAGGAGCATCCTGGTCTCATTAGCACAACATCGGTGTCTTTTTTGCAAACCACCTATAGGACTTTTATTCCCTCTCAGATCTGCCCACTGATCTGCACCAAGCCTAAACAGGAGCAAAATATATGGGGATCTCTTTTAATTCCTATTTTTTATGTTGATACCCAACATTAACATGAAAATTCTTCATACATTTGCTGTTAAGTGGAGGTTGAAATACCCTCATATAAAGTGTTAATAGCAAGAATTTTTGATTTGGCAGGTTATAATATTTCTATCATAACTTTCCATTATTACCAATATATATCAAAAGTGACCATTGATACTAAGTGAATAAACGGATAAGCTTGTGTTCCAATAAAACTTTATTTCCAAGAGACGATAGGCCAAATTTGGCCATTCAGTTTAAAATGCCTTTATATAG